GCACTTGTCATGACGCTATGTGAGAAGGATTCTGCATACAAGAAATGGAAGCGCTTATGCGACAAGTGGACTCATGAGTTTCTGTTTTGAGCCCACATGATCCTGAAGGTGGGTCATGGCTGTCAGACCAAGAGCAACCGTGGGGCATTGGTTGCAAAGCATGCAGCTTCAGCAAATGCAGCAGTAAGTTCGCTATGTGTTGCTGTCAGAGAGGCAGGCTCCCTGCAGCATGAGAACTTAAAAAAACATGCGCGTACCAAGGCTCGCAAACTCTCAATGGGTGGCACTACGCTTGGCTGCTTGGCTTCCTGGCTGATGCGGCCAGAAGCTATTTTGGCAGTGAGTCGACTAAGGTCAGCTTCCTGGCTGATGCGGCCAGAAGCTTTTTTAGCAGTGAGTCAACTAAGGTCAGCTATGGGGAAAACAATCCAAGTTTTGCACCAAAGCCCTGGTTTTCCTAACTTCAGTCAAGTCGTCATCCATGTCCAGCTCGGTATAGTGTTTGCTTTCAGCTTGGGGCTCAAATTTGAGGCTAAGTAGTTAACACTTAAAAGAGTTCAATGGCTAGCTCCTTTGCAGCGCTCATGCCTGTGACAAGTCGCGCTGAGAAAAGTTCACACGAAGAAACTCAGTTTCTGCACTTTGCAACCATGGAGCCGTCAGAGGTTGCTTCTGGCTTTTCCTTTGTTCCAAGTCCTTGACCGGGTGGAACGCACAAGAAATGCCCTACTCTGGACTTGGCAACAATTGCCTGAAGAAGCAGTGGATGCGTTGGAAGACATTGTTTCTGCTTTGGATATTTGCACCACAATCGCGTTGTCCGACCTTCACTCGCGACCAAAGCACAGAATCATGACTGCTCTTCCTGCGCGTGCGCCAGGCAAGACACTGGCATTGAATAATTATGTCAAAAATGACTTTTGGCACGCTACTGAAGTGATGGCAGCATTGTCGCAAAGTCGGGCGACTCACGACCGCTTCGACTGGGACACTATGTTGGAGACTTGGTTTGGGGATTTTGCCTTTGCAGTGCAGATCGTACCTGACTCCCTTTATTTGAAGACTGGCTGCTTCAAAAGTGGGATCGTGTGGCCTAAGGCTGCAGCACGCCTTTCCAAAAAGAGCAGGCCGGGCTAACTTCGTCGCAGCAGCCGTTACTTCCATTGGCTGCTTCGGCCAAGGTTGCAGGGTTTGTTGTAGGCTTGAGGTTAAGTCACTGGCTGCTTCGGCCGGGGCTTGCTAATTAAAAAACCTTAGAAAGTTGGAAGCGGGCAAGGCGCGAGCTGACTTCTCAGCTCGAAGGTGAAAAAATCGACGACAGTGCTTGAAAGGAGAGGGCGGTTTGACCTCTCCACCCGAGCTTCGGGAACGTTCTTGAACCTCGAAAGGAGAGGGTTTTGAGAGGGCGAAACAAAAATACCACTTGCGGAGCAACTACCCTTCGCCTGAAGGGATCGATCGGGCTTTTTCACCTCGCGCCGAAAAGTCCCTGGTGGAACGACGAACTCATGCCTGCCATGCGTGCAATCACAACTGGATATATTTTCTAAAGTTCGAATGGAGCCAGTGCTTGGGTGCCTTACCTAAGGCTCATAATGGATCATGGGTGCTCCAACGAACGACAAGCGGCCATCTCATCAGCATTCGTCTTTTCAGCTTTTGAACTTTCGGATCACGCTCGAGCCGGGGATGCATGGGCCGTGTCCCTCCTTCTCGCGGGCATTGGCCACAAAATAATTGGCCATGTCCTGGACCACTGGTGAGAGGTCACTGCGGTCACTCTGATTGATCATCCACTGAACGTACTTGACCTTAGAAGTCTCACTCGATGATGCCAGCTCTGAGTGCGAAATCTCGTGCTTCTCGAACTTTCCGGCCGTTACCAGTGTACGGCCCCACTCTTCCATGCTGCTCACTCCGGACGGCAACTTTGACGAGGCACGAGTTTTGGCTGCTCGAACCATAGGCCTCTGTGGTAGTGGTGAGGCTTCATCAACCATGCGCCTCTTGGAAGCATCCGTCATACTTCCTTGACCTTCGGATTCACGAACAAGCTCGAACTCACCTAACTCATACCCCAGCTCCTTCAGGAGGGAGTCCATGGATCCTTCATCTCGGACCCTCTGCAGCAACTCATCAACTGCTGAGGACAAACGCTGACTGGTACCAGCCATGGTGAGGCTGGGAGGAAACCGCTGAGAAGCAGGCACTTCGATGGATCGTTCCAAAATGCGATCGCCTTCAATGCGACCGGTCGAGAAAAAGGCTGCGACGTGCATACACAAACTCACAAGCAAAACTTGCATAGACCTGAGTATCGACCCTAGCTACATTGTTCCCAAACAATGAACCCTCACTTTTACTCAAGTTTGCCACTTATGAATCACCTGAGACCCCCTCAGGTGTTGGATCCCCACCGGCACCTTTCGAATCCTTCAAGCGTTGCTCTTGGATTTGCCGTCGAATCTGTTTTTCGGCAGCTTGCATTTTTAACACCGTTTCTTCCGGGGATATCTGATATGATGCCCTACGAATACAAGCACGGAGGAGATCGATGGGATCACCGGCGTCCTTGGTGAGTCCATCTGCTAACATCCTATTTGTGGGTACCCACCGAACTAGGGCTTCCATGTTCTTACAGCTCTCCCTGATGATCACTACATCAATGCTGGTTCGTCTGTCCTCTATGGATGTTGGTGAGGACGGGGAGTGTAAATGATCGTACAAACTCTTGCAGTCGGTGACGATGATCGGCTGTCGCCTTTTGAGCACATTCCTGCAGCTGCGAATCTGCAGGGGGCCGTCTATGGTCTCAGCCAAAAGCAACAAGATCCACTCTGCAGTTCCTGAGGCGACTGACATAGCTTGGCCTTCTGCGGCCAGCGTGCTGCTCACCGCCCTCTGTAAGCGGTAGCTTCGCCATGCGGCGGGGGTCCATGGGGCTTCATGTCCTAGGTGCAACTTCTTATCGGTGAAACCGATGATGTAACCAGCCTGTGTGTGGTTTCCTCTATTTGCAAAAGCTGCATCACTGTGACACACTATGGTTAGATCGTTCAGTGGAATTGGATTGAACGTCACCCCAACTTCCCTGTGCTGACGGGCACGTCTGACGGCCTGATTTGCAATCCTGAAATCCTCTATGGTTGGTCGAGGAAAGGACTGCTGGGACAGACTTGTTTGCACACTTAAATCAGGTCTGGCTTGAGAGGATAGCCAGTTAAGGCTTCCATTTACAGCTCGTAGGACCTTGATTTGACCAGGCGACAACAGCTCGGACGGAGAACTGTCCTTGGGCACATTCACTGGTCGAATCTTTTCAGCAAATGACTTCATTGACATGATGATCGATTTGTCTTTCTGTTGATCATACCATGCACCACAGAACTCTCCACCTTGCATTCGCCATTTCCGATACGGAAAGCGGGCACGGAGTTGTTTGATGGACATTTCAAAGTGGTCTCCGGCGCCTCCAACGGCCGTGTCGTCAACGTGCACACCCATCACACCAACTAGTGTGTGATCTTTTGGATCTCGAAGTGTGAACAGGCACGGGTCCAGAACGCTTTGGTGCCACCCTAGAGACTTAACAAACCCACTGAACTCACGAAACCAGGCCGACGGAGCGTCATTCTGTCCGTACAGGTTTCCAACAATCTCTATCACAGCGTCAGGAGGGATTCCCGGAATGCCACCTGCGGGTTGATGTGCAAACAGTGGACGAAATTCAGGGTTTAGCGGACCTGCCTCGAGGAACGCTCCTTTTATATCTCCTAATTGCAACACCCACTTTTGTGATGCGATCACTTGGAGGAGGCACATTCGACCAAGTTGACTGAGTGTGGGCGACTTCAAAAGGCCTTGTTCGGCCTTTACCTCGAGATCGGGGTCGAGGTGGCCTTGCAGACACCACCGGCCCTTCACCGTGAAGGTATTGAAGTCATTGGGATCTATCTCCATGCCTTCCTCTAGTGGCTTGCGGGTCAAGACAAACCTACTGCCGATGAATCGATTGCCATACTGTTCACGAATTTGTTTTGCTTTCTTACCGTAGTGCATTCGAACAGCATGTGGTTTTGAAGTGATCGTTTCCCATTCCGCTCGTTTCCCTTGTTGGACCTTCTGTTGAAGTTCTGGGGGATTGTTGCTATGAGGCAATTCTTTTGACATCTTCTTCTTAAGGTATTCGGCCATCAAGCATTCCCAGGACTCCGAGTCGGCAAGTGACATGAGATCGGAGACATCCTGAACACTCAGTGTTTCTTCTGTTCTCGGGCGACTTGCGGCTGGTTCTTCAACTTCGGGATTACTAGAGGGTGATAAAGGTCTCTTGGGTCGGTCGGCACATGCATCTTCGACTAGCTGGGGTACGACCTCTTTCATGATTTCTATGAAGTCTTCTTGCTTGAGGGCTGGAGGTCTCCACAGCGACATCGGACCATCTTTCCCGGACACTCGACGGCGGACCGGTCCGTACGAACCAGAGCTTTCGGATTCTCTTGGGGGTCCCGATGGATAGGGTGATAAACTGACATTTCCTCGCTCACTGGGACTTCCTTCTGGATGACTAGATTGATCTGTTTCTTGTGCTGCTGGTTCTTTTGGTTCCGTGGCCGACGATGTCACGGCTGGCATAGGCCCATCAGCAGGTCGTTGTTCGACCATTCTAGGTTCGTCACTTGGCGGACGGAGTCGACTGGCTTCGGACATTGGATCAGTTTCCGCAGGATGTTCCCTTGAGTCTGCGTCCCCCTCTTGTGGTGGATATGACTGTGGGAGTAGGTCTAGGTACTGACGACTGTGCAGATTACCTTTATCTATCAAGTCCTTAATCCCTAGCAGTTCAACATCAGGAGACGAGATTAGGCACTTCTCTTCATTTGTCGCGGGTCGGACTTGCTCAGGTGCACATCGAATCACCTGCCTACGATGGATCAACACGAGATTTCTGCCAACATGTCCTAACACAATGGCTACCCCATACCACTGACCTCCTTGCTGCAACTGACCTTGAACCCACTTTTGGTTTCGCCAGTAGGCCACCATATCCCCTGGTTGAAAGGAAACTGGTTTCCGAGGTCGAGCCAGGAGTGCGACTCGCATTGCTCGGTCGTCCTGCATTTGAACCAGTGCCATTCGAGCGGATGTCCTCATGGCTTGTGTCCGACTGATTGCCTCATCGGTCAGTGTGGCGGTCGCTGGCACAATGGACAATGGTTCACTGAGTAAATCCTGAGGAACATGTGGATTGCGGCCAAACACAAACTGAAAAGGAGTGTATCCATGGACCTGAATCATCTGGTTCTTGACATGGGCGTGAGAAACACATTCTAGCCATTCTTCTCTATTTCGGGGGGAGTAGTCATCGATCAACTTTTCCAAAACACGGTTGAACCAGCCACCATGAGATTCGCATTTCCCTAACTGCCAATGCGCACCGGCTGCGATAGGTCGCACATGTGTCCCGTCAAGTTCGGCGGGAACAGTCATGGGGTCACCCAGATTTGTCCTGGCAGGGTCCATGATGATCTCCCTTGGAATTCCGGCCCAGGCAATCCAGTGTTCATTGAGCTGTTCACGCAATAGACTTGCGGTTTCCGTCTGGAAGAACGGAATCATGCGCTGAAAGCTGCTGGCTGTATCTACAATGTTCAGAGCTTTGATCTTTTGGTTTGGCTGCCAACCCCGAAGATGTTTCACATCGATGGCTATTTGGTGGTTAAACTCAGTTACCCTATTCGGCTGTGCAGGAAGAGGACTCTTTGGTTTGGCTTGGCTTTTACAAAAATCACAGGACAGCTCACGGGCTAACTTGAGAGCTTGTTCGCTGGCATTTCCGTGACGCAAAATCCGGACCAAGTCACAATTTGGTGGGTGGCCCAGGTTCCTGTGCAGTTTGGTCAAAACCGGTATGAGCTCTGCATCCGTTCGTTGACTCAGGGCATTGACAGCCAAGACCTCTGACCAACTCTCTTCAGGAATCGCATCTTCGAGAATGCACACCGCAGGTTCCGCCGATGGTTGCATGGGACTCGGGTCGTGACTGCTCATGCGAAAGGCCTCTACGGTTTGAAGCACTGCTTGCACAAACTGGTGTGGGTATCGTCCAGCGTATTCACTGACACTTGAAACCCCTGGGGCACTGCCTGCCACTACGTCATGTGACGCATGATCACCGTTTCCAGGGCATAACAAACCTAAGGTTGACATGTCTTCATGAGTCACTAGCAACCGGGTGCTCTTGCGGATGAATTTATGACTCTCAGGCAAACGAAGCCCATACCTGCACATGTGCAATTTGACTGTCGTGAATCGACGGCACAGGGCTTGAACTTCAGGATATGTCCACAACCTAGACCCCGTCGGATGTTCAAACATTGCTCGACCTCCGAGAGAGACCTGTAGTCTGAATAGCTTACAGCACCATCTAATATAACTACGACTCTGTGCCATTCGTTGGAGGTACTCTAGACGGGTCCATTTCGTGCTATTCAGGTGCATCCACCCGCCTTCGTCAGTGCACGGCGGGCACAACACCAGAAGACGTGGCTTCTCTGTCGTGAGCTCTTGTTCAACGGTGCTCCTGTGACGGCTGAGGCGGAAATCAAACCCATTTACTAAGTCATATGACTTGGCACGAAAACCTGCTGCTTCGGCGGCTGTCGTGAACCGAGGGGGTGAAAACACCTCCATTACCAAACAACGCTTGGTTTTCCTACCCTCTTGAACTGCGAGGCATGCCTGAGCCTGCCGATGCAATTGTCGGCATTGGTGATGAGATGGTTGCCACTCTTCAGTCATGACACCCTCCATTGGTTTTCCTACAAAGAAAAACTCGGTTTTCACATGCGGCATGCGTTCAAAGAACTTTACCATAGTCTTGTGTTGAGGGGTCCCTGGATCTATCCGGGTATCATCGATGACTTTTGAGGTCTGGATGTCGGTTACTCGCCTACGAAACACATGCTTCCATGCTGGCCCTTGGCGAGACAACCATGGGGTGGTGACGACATCACAGTCCTCCTGCTCCCAAATCGCCGTGTCAGGTGCTGTCGGCGAGATCAACTCGGGGGCGTTTGCCACAGGCATTTCCGGCTCAAGCTGCGGCTCATCAACATGCTCATGAGATGCCGTGGGACCTGGAGAGGCCTCCACAGATGCCATCACTTCTGTAAAAGCGGCTGCGGGCGAACACACGGAATCCTCCCCAGTCAATTGCACTACATACTGTCCAGCACTGTTGGTTTGGAGGGGAATTGTCTTTCCAAACACCTGGAGGCTGTCATGTGCAAAGTCCAGAGTCGCACCCAGTGTCTTGAGTGCTGTGCGGCTCAACAACAATGGAGCATCACCCTTGATCACTGCAGCACGAATCACGCCTCGGCGATGAGCCAAGACGACAGGCATCTGAATGGAGACCATGGATGTCTCCACTTCACCATTTCCGAACTTGAATTGATGCACTTCATCGATGGGCTTCGGGATTGCCCATCCCTTCTGTTTCCAAATCTTCTCAAAGGCACGGAGAGTGGTCTGTCCAACAATGGTCCGACCACAGCCGGAATCCAGGACACCATAGCCTGGGGACGACACAAGCAGGATCTCCTCTGTGGTGGCTGGGACATCAGGCTGACTCTTGTCATTCACATGCTTGCGAACTCGCTCCAGCAACGTAGGCGTCGCCATCACTGAAGCTACAAAATCCAGTTCCTGCACCACCGCTGCACCAGATGCAGCGCTAGATCCAGAATTCTTCGACTTGCCAGCTCCTTTGGTCGTCTCTTTCGATCGGCACTCTCGTGCCCAATGGCCTTTGCGGCCGCAACGATTGCACGTGGAGTTCCTCTTCATCTCCTCAATCTCCACCCGAAAGCTTCGTTTGACATCTCGTGCCTTCTGAAACTGACGAGTTTTCTGAAGGCGGTTCAACTCTTGCCTCTTCTCTTTCCAGGTGGCGGCCAGGACCTCAGCGACTTCGGACTCCTGGAAGGTCTCGGTGTCGGGTCCCGCCTCGACACCAGCATGGTGATCTTCCAACAACTGCTCAATGTCGGAAAAACCATCATCCCATATCTCAGCAGTGTCATCGCCACCATCTTGTTCCTCGGCAATTGCCACTCCAGCACGCTTGCGAGTCATGACCAGCTCTGGGTAGCAGGATCGAAGTGCGGAGGCGATGGATTCTCGCTTCAAGTCACCTCGAGCTCTGGCGATCACCACCGCCTTTTGCTCTTCCGACAAAGCAGCTCGATGGAGTAGCAGCCATCCCCTGGCCTCATCCGGAAATGAGACTCCAGTTTTGCGGTGACATTTGTCCATCAGCTCGGATGCCCTGGCGGTCCATTGTCTCATGGATTCGCCTTCATGCGAGCGAAGGCCAAAGATCTCGGTCAGGATCTCCCCCAGCTCATCCACTGTCTCCTGCTGAGGGAATCGCTTGTCTAAAATGGCCCATAGGGCATCATCTCCGCCCTTCTTCTGATAGCTTTCGGGATCTAAATGTTCCACGGCCTCCAAGGCCTTGCCAGAGAGAAGGGTGTATATGTAGGCCCCTCTGGAGCCCTCCGCCAACTTGTCAAGCGTCAGCAGTTTATTCTTCACCCATTGCTTCCAGCGTTTATACTCACGGCCATCCTCGGAATCCCCCGAGAAGAAACGGAGCCCACCTTCGGACGAGGTGGAAGACGTCATCGCTGCCATGCGTAGGACCTTCGCCTGAAGGTCAGGTTCAACTAGCCATGGCGGGAGCCTGCTCTTTGAGCAGGCTCCGCTACCAATTGCGGAGCAACTACCCTTCGCCTGAAGGGATCGATCGGGCTTTTTCACCTCGCGCCGAAAAGTCCCTGGTGGAACGACGAACTCATGCCTGCCATGCGTGCAATCACAACCACTATATAATATAGTTTTGCCCATAGTTGTCCCCTCACTGCCCTCTCCACCCGAGGCTCGGGAACGTTCTTGAACCTCGAAAGAAGAGGGCGATTTGCCCTCTCTTCTCAGACTTCAACTTGCTCGTTTGCAGCCGTTTTTCACTCAAGTGAAGCAAGTTTCAAAGCTTTAGCTGCTTCGGCTAAGCTACTCCACAACGGCCAAGACTCCATTATGTTGGCAGCTCAACAGGTGACCTCATTCAGGGCGTGGCCCTTCCTAAGCTCACTGATGAATGGAGCATGAAGTGGTCGGAGAAAAAGGATCTGTATGGCAAGCGCCACTTGATCGCGGTGGGCGGGCGCACAGAAGGTGGAGAGGATGAGCCAAAAATCAACGACCGAACCAAAGATTTGCCCGAGCCTGTTTGCTACTTCTCGCCACCGCTTGAGCTGATGGAGGAGCTCCTGCACACCTTCTATGCCAAGCTGGTGCTGGACTTGAGCCCAGCTGATGGAAAGTTGGCGTGGGCATGCGTCAAGACTAGGACTGCGTACATGGGCATCTGCTACATTGACACCCATGTCAAGCTGATGGAAGAATGGCTCCTGGACCTAATGAAGGTGAGCGTGAAGGAGACTGCCTCGCCATTGTTCAACAGTCTCTATGCGCAAGCTGTGGGGTCAACGACTTCTTCATCGCAGCCAGCGATCCCGAAGCGCAAGCCACGCCCCAAGCCAAAGGTAAAGTCGGCTCCCAAGCCAAAGCCAGCTCCCAAGCCTAAGGGAAAACCAGGAGGCAAAGTCAGAGCCCAAGTCGAAAAAGCCGCGTCTCGAGGCAGAGCAGGCAGATGACGACGACAATGAAGAGGAGGAAGAGGCATTCGAGGAGGATGTTTGGGATCCTTTGGACGAGGGGTGAGTGGTCTTTTGGCTGCTTCGGCCAGGGCCAACACCGTCTGCTGGCTGCTTCGGCCAGCGTTTTTTGAAACTTGCTGGTGCGGAAAAACTATTAGGTGTCTGGGTCTGGGTTGATAATTGAGGTCAGTCATGTGTGCTTAAGTTCGCAAGTTGCAAGTAAAGGATAATTGAATGGTTTGGCCCAAGGGAAAGCGTCCTTCAAAACGTGAATTTTAGTTGAATTTCACATTGCAATGCTGCGACGTCAAAACGCGCAGTTTTTCCATGATGATGGCAATAATGGAAAGGGTTGTGGCGAAACAGCTCATTTGGTTCAACAGAAACTGCTCAAGTCTTATCACCCTTGGAAGCTCTTGCAAAAATACAAATGCGTGAGCAAAAGCCAATGGCCACAGGCCCACAGACTTGCTACACACATTCTCATGGAGCCTATTTAGAGGCAGGTCGCAGCTGGGTGCGCAATCACTTGCAATCTGAAGACTGGGCGCTTTAAATTAAAGTGTGGCAAGCAATGCTAATTAAACTAGGTTTCCCACAGACAGTCGCCATGTGGCTGCTCCGGCCACTGGCGGCAGCCTGTGCGTGCGTGAATGAGGGAGCAGTGCAAGTGCAAAATGACTAGCCCTGCGCTATTTTCAAGTCTCGTTTTCTCATGTGAGCTTTCTCGTGGAAGCTATTGAATTTTATTTTCACCCCATGTATGTGTAAGTGAAAGATTTTCAACAAGACCAAGATAGCACACACACCTGAAGGGGAAAATGTGATCACAGGAATCAAACCATTTGGGAGGAGGAACTGATGAAACATAATGATGGCGTGCATCTTTGCCTTTTAGTGTTTTTGCGGTTCAGTCACCACAAAAATGTTTGAAAGTTATTTTCTATTCTCGTTTTTGCAGCTCTTTCACTTCCCATGAAAACAGTCAAAAGCAGCAAAAAAAAACAAAAATACCACTATATAAAAGTAAGTCGTGGCAGGCGCAGTACCCAGAGCCTCCAGAAGGGGCTGCGGCGCG